TTGCATAGAATTAAACATGCACTACCAGTAGTAATATATTATACCATAAAATAATATAATAAAGATACCAGGATAAAATTATGTATGCCAAAAGCGCCTTTCGACTACAAATGAGGCGGAAGATACCAAAGAGACAGTCAAACTAAAAGGTAGAAAATAAACTGACAACGCCAAGGATTTATGATAACCGAAACAGTTGAATTATGTGACCGTAGAGAACCTGTAGTTCAGTAGATGTCGTTGGTGCATGTCTGTTATATCTGCTTTTCGTAAATTGTTTTGTTATAAACTAGCAGTTAGTTTTCTCAATTGAATTGTCTCATATTGTTCATGTCGGGCTCTTTTATAGACGACCATACGGTATGGGTTTTTTCATTGTTGAAGGTTGTACTATAATTGCTTACATTCACTTCATTTGAACTTGGGTGGATAGCTGTCTCATAGGCAATCATACCACATCTCCTTATTTTTATATACAAAAAACTGGTTAAATCGACCTAAGGTTAACTTTAATTGTATGTGTTGAAACCTAAGTTTTTTTAATGATTTCTAAATTCATTCAGCGAAACTTTGAAATCATCAAAAATATCTTATTTCAATATTTGGCATGATTAATGACAATACTTATTCTATTATATGAAAGAATAAGCTGTCATTTTAACACGTTCACTTTACTACTTATTCAATTAATTTCATTGTCGTTTCTATAATTCTTTGCTTAATGGTATGCTGTATTTTATGAATATTTATTTGAATTTTTTAGCTTGTAAGTGTCAAGTAGCAAACAGATAAGTATAGCGTACAATTATCTATGCAATTCATAATATAACGATATTAATACAATGGTGTTAGTAGAATAGTAAAGTAAACCAATGAACATACCATGAAAATGATGTGTGATAGACACGCGCTCCGTCTACAAAAGAGGTGGAAATAACAAACAGACATTCAAACTAATTAGTCGAACATAAACTGACAACGCCATGGCATGAACCTCAACAGACAAAACGACAAACAACAGTATACAAGAAAACAAAAAACCGGGATTGATTTCATGTGCTGTTTTCTAAATTTACCTTAACGGGAAACGCTCAAAGCAGAAATGATTAAATTAAAGGACGTGTAATTAACAACATAGTTCAAGTATATGACCATAGAGAACATACACGAAAATAATTATATCAACTTAACGTCAACATTACTTGAGGGTGTTAAAACCTAAGTTTCTTTATATTTTCTAAATGTATTAAGCGAAACTTTGAAATCATAAAAATGTATAGATCGAAAAATAACCTGACAACGCCGTGATCTCAGGTGCTCCGGAAGGGTAGGCAGAACCTGCTCTTAAATTATTCCTCGGATTTTAAACTTGTATTTATTTTTTTATATTTTTCAGTCCAATGTAAGTGTTATGTACCATACAAGATAAGTATATTGCAATTAATTTACAAACAATGAAGAATAAAAGAACAATAGATAGTGAATGTTGTGTATGGTGCTTTTATTGAAATTGGACAATTTAAAAACAGTTCTAATCAATAAAGACGCAATTATATAGAAGTAACAAAACCCATTCGTATTTTAGAAGCAATGCGATATTTTGATAAGTATGACTTTAAATGAAATGCTAAGTAGTCTTAATTCAAACGTGAACAAATAGACAATACAATTCGTATTGTTGTTTATAAATATCTTTAGCAACACCTTGTTTTTTCTCTAGTATTATAACAAAACATATTATCAAATGCTTTCGTAAATATGTTCAATGTGATATTTGTTTTTGTTTTTGTTTTTTACAAATCTAAATGTTATATTAAACCACGAATAATATATTGAAACAAAAACATATTTCAAGTATTAAATAGTTTCGTGAATATATTCAATGTAATATTTGTTGTCTTTACAAACCTAAATGTTATGAATGCTTTAACCCAACGAATAGTATATTGAAACAAAAAGATGGACAAAATGCTTCCAAATTGATTTAAACGTTGTATAGGTAAATCATTACGACTTAATAGCCTTACAAATAGTAGTGACAGAGTATTCCAAAAACAGTATAGAAACTTATTAAAGAGATCAGGTTTATAATGTTGTACATGTATCTGTAAACGGACAATGTTTGAAAGTTTTATAACCTTTGATATGCACTGTTAACTAATTATAACACGCATAGGGAAGTTTTATATTTTTTAATTGATAAAAGAACAAACATGTTTTTCCGTTGTATTTGTTATTTGTTATGACAGTAAGACAAAACAGGCTATAGAAGACTGAAGTACAACCAGTGCTTTAGAACACATTATATGTTTGTTATTATAAAATATTACAAACACATAAGACTGAAGTACAACCAGTGCTTCAGAAAACATTATATGTTTGTTATTATAAAATATTACAAACACATAAGACTGACGTACAACCAGTGCTTCAGAAAACATTATATGTTTGTTATTATAAAATATTACAAACATATCAGCCTGAAGTTCAGCCAGTGGTTCAGAAAACATCATATGTTTGTTATTATAAAATATAACAAACACAAAATTTGTCAGTCCAATGTAAGTGTTATGTACCATAACATATAAGTATATTGCGACTATTTTACAAAAAAATGAAGAATTAAAGAAATATAGAAAGTGCATGATGTGTATAGTGTTTTTATTGAAATTGGACAATATAAAAACAGTTCTAATCAATAAAGAAGCAATTATATAGAAGTAACAAACCCCATGTGTATATTAGAAGCAATGCTATATTTTGACCAGTATGACTTTAAATGAAATGCTAAGTAATCTAAATCAAACGTGAACAAATGGACAACAATTCGTATTGTTGTTTATAAATATATCTTACACCACCTTGTTTGTTCTCTATATCGTGATTGTTGTAAATTATTCCTTAGATATTAAACTTGTATTCTTATTTATATTTTTCAGTGCATCGTAAGTGTTATGTACCATATAGATAAGTAAATTGTGATTAGTTTACAAAAAATGAAAAATGAAAGGACAATATATAGTGAATGATGTATATTGTGTTTTTATTGAAATTAGAAAAAATATAAAAAAAGTTCTACTCAATAAAGACGCAATTGTATAGAAGTAACAAAACCCGTTCGTATATTAGAAGCAATGCGATATTTTGATCAGTATGACTTTAAATGAAATGCTAAGTAGTCTAAATTCAAACGTGAACAAATAGACAATAACATTCGTATTGTTGTTTATAAACATCTTTAACAACACCTTGTTTTTTAACTAGTATCATAACAAAAAATTATTCGAGTATTAAATACTTTCGTGAGTATATTCAATGTAATATTTGTTATTTTTACAAATCTAAATGTTATTAATGTCTTTAACCCAACGAATAATATATTGAAACAAACAAATTGATAATTTTATTTGGACAAAATGCTTCCAAATTGATTTAAACGTTGTATATGAGTATTCCATTAAACAGTATAGAAACTTATTAAACAGATCAGGTTTATAATGTTGTACATGTATCTGTAAACGGACAATGTTTGAAAGTTTTATAATTTTTGATATGCACAGTTAACTAATTATCACTCACATATTGTAGTTTTATATGTTTTAATTGATAAAAGAACAAACATGTTTTTCCGTCAAACGGAGTTGTATTTGTTATTTGTTATTTGTTATGACAGTAAAACAAAACAGACAATAGAAGACTGAAGTTCCACCAGTGCTTCAGAAAACATTATATGTTTGTTATTATAAAATATTACAAACTCAAACTTTGAATTTTTGACATGATTACTGACTATAACATTCAACAAAAAGCTGTCAGTTCTATTATCACTTTACTACTTATACTAAGGTTGCTTCTATAACTCATTGCTAGATGGTATGCTGTATTGTATGATCATTTACTTGATTTTATTTTGTATTGCAGTCGGTAAGTGAATAGTTTCAAACAGATAAGTATAGTTTACAATTATATCGCAATTTATAACATGGCGATAGTCTTTGAAACTTGAATAATGTACTTAATTATGCAGGTTGCAATAAGCGGAATGATCTAATTGCGTAACGATATTCCAAGTTATCAAAATATCGTATATGTTTAGTATGTCCGTATTTCTAAAAAAAAGTGACAATATGTCTAAATTGTAACAATATTTTCAATTTTGTGTCTTCTTTTTCCTTATTCCTTTCGTGTTATATATCTGTATGTTCAAGCAATGTATCAATTCCAATATCATGCTGTTAACCAGAATTCCTGATTATTTGATTAATCGTCGCCATCTAAAGTTGTTTTTGATTAATAATTAATGTTTGACGTCTGTTTTTAAAACATAGTTCTAGAATTACAAAAAAAAACAACATGTTTTGGCCTTTATGTGATTTAATATATATATATATATCATACCATGACTATTTCAAATTTATGCATTATTAAACTTTAGTCGGTAACTGTTAAGTACCAAATCGAAAAATAAAACTAAAAACTTTGAGCATTTGTTGTCATAGGAATCATATGACAAATGGCAGTCTTCTTATAAAAGTGGAAAAAGGTGATAGTTGCAATGTTTGAAAATTGTTATCAAGATGCATAAATAACACTGTTACTTTGCTTATAAAAAATAAAAAAAACTTGAATATTTTAATTTGATAAATTATATGTTCAGTCATTAATCTATTAGCCTATAGGATAAACATTACAACATGTGGTAGAATTGACAATGAGACAGCTACCCAACATAGAGTAAATTATGTTGATGGTAGTTACAATAAGTCACATTACGGGCAATATAGAGCAAATTATGTTGATGGTAGTTGCAATAAGTCACATTACGGGCAATATAGAGTAAATTATGTTGATGGTAGTTGCAATAAGTCACATTACGGGCTTTTCCAATAGTGAGAAATACAAATACCGTATATTAAGTAAGCTAAAAAAAATCCTAAAAAAGACAATATGTGAACCGTTTCAAACTATAGAACTTACACTGTTAGGTCCGATAGGTAAATAAATTTTGACCAAAGTCCGACGATGATATAATATGTTTTCATTGTAGCTGTACCTGTGGAGAGTAAGTATTGAAGATAAAGCTTACGATTTATATATTTCTTCGATGGCGCGGATTCACATTATATGCATTAGTCATGAAACGAAGTACATATAATGATTATACAAAATTGTATCACTGATACCTATACACGTAGTATTACATGTTTATTTTCAATTAATGTGTTTCATACTTAAAATTTACATGAAAAAGTACAATACATCTATTTACTAACTGATCGATAAGGATATGCACATAATGGCATTTTTCTGCGGTAGTATTTTTTAAACTTGTTTTTGTAGAGAGATAACGTAACTTACGCTTGCAAGTTGCTTCTTATGAAGGACACTATTTATTTAGTTAAGTGGTATGGTCGTCTCTGACATAAATTGGTTCCATTTGAAAAGATTGGTACTCTTATAGACCGGATACATACTCATCATATACAGATAATTTCAACAAATAAAGTGACTATATATATTTATCAAAATACAGAGCTATTATGTACTGTTTGTTAATAGAAAATCAATAGAACACTTTTACAAAGGGGAGATGCAGTTCTTGTTGAAATGTTAACACGACTTGTATGACTGTTGTTCCTTAAACTGAACGTAAACAACATCAGTTTACATTATTTATTGCGTCAAATCGTGCCTAAATACAAGTTCAAACAAATGAACCAATAACAGTCCTTAAGGAGTTGTTCAGTGTATTATAAAATTGAGAATGGAAATGGGGAATTTGTCAAAGAGACAACAACCCGACCAAAAAGCAGAAAACAGCCCAAGGCCACCAACACAGCGATAAACTAGTTTGCTATCTAAAAACTAAAAATATGGAAGTCAATGTTGTGGACAACAAAACTGCGAACATTTAAGCAAACCTCCACTTACATCGTTGACGAACTAAGTGTTAATTTTCAATGCGTTTTAAGAAGGATAAACAAATTGCATCCAGGGAGCAGATAGCACAAATTTATAGCATCACTTGTAAACATGTATGATGTATAATTAGACGTTAAACAAAAACAATCATTGTATTTATTTCTTCAGATGGATGAAACTGATAAGACAATAGTGACAGCCAGTAATAAACATTGGCGAAACACAGAAATGATTGCAAACACTTCCTTCCGATGCAAAAACAATATTAAACAATCTGAATATACTATTTCCTTGTTTTATTTGCATGCACGTTTTATGTTTAAAACATATATGAATCTGATACATCAAAATAAAAACTTTACAATTGTTTCCCTAAACTCTATTTTAACCACAAAATAATTATGTCGTACGTGTTGCATCACACGAATCATTCATACTTTGATATTTTCTTATGTCAGATAATTATTTAATGCTCTCTCGTGAATGAGTATTATATCAAATTCAAAATAATTAGCTACACTTCTTACCAATCAAGTATTATATAACTACAATTTGTATCCTAGTGTCCGTTACTCATTCGAATTTATTTCACTTTTCTATTTATACTACAAAGAACGTTATTATAGAACTTAACGTATTGAAAAGCATTATAAACTGTCGGAATAGTCTTTAAGCAATTGATTCGAAACAAATCAAAACTGTAGACTTTTTCTAGTACTTCAAGTTATTATTCAAATTGTTCACACTATGTCTATAACCCTACAATGTATTTCTTAATGTGAATTCGATTATCATACATACATTTGATTTATACGTTGTTTCTGCCATTAAACTGGTAAACATGTAGATTGAAATTGTATTATATTTAACGCGCGAGACTACTTTACATAATTTTGTAATATGTATATGAATGTTATTTCTTTTGTTTTATAAAAAGTTATGATAATTTTTTAAATGTGTAGTCTTTCGAAATCATGAAATAAATTTGCAACTGGTTTGACTAGAATGTGTTTTACCTGTTTCGCCCACATCGTCATGTCTTTGATAGAAACATTTCGTCAAAGTTTTCACGGCTTCGTTGAAAGGGAATTATTTCATATTTGGTGTGCAACTTGATAATGTTGAGTTGTGGCGACTTTCTGTTTGCCAATAGTTCAAAATAACTCTGATTGTACAAGGAGAATGTTCGTAAAAGTTTACTTGGCTTGATTGAAAGGAATGATTAGTTATGTTTCAGTATACATGTTGTTATGATATTGTTATTATCATGTTTATTTATCTTGGCCTAATTTGTTTTGTGTGGCCTTATAATACTTATAATATGCTTACATCATATTTATAGTTGTTTACAATATAATGTTATAATTGTGCAGTTTAGAAATCACTTGAACAATCATAGATACTGATGGAATGATTAGAACTTTCTATTTGACTGACATATTAATTCTGAAATGATCATAATATACGATGCGTAATTTAAACTTCCACCATATTCTAGGAGTTTCGCTTCTACAGTGTTCTAAAGGTTTCCGTGACAACTACATATACAGACACCGAAATTAGACTTTTTTAGACATTAATTTACTTGGATTCACAGAAGTTCTCTGAAGTTGTTGTATTGATACTTTATTTACGTTAACTACATCATAATAGAATGGACATATTCCGTACAGTTAAGAGAAGAATTCCGGATAAAGAAAAGACAAAAGACCGGACATTTAACTTAACAGTTAAGTTAACATTTCAATTTGTATAATATTTCTTGTAAACTTGTGTATAATAAATCTTGATAAATTTTATTATTGATTTGTGTCTTCTGTTTGCTACAAGTTAAAGGTGATTTCTGGCCGTAACAATGTCATCCAAAATGATTGTATGCAGCGACGCAGTTCCAGACATGGTATTGGCCTTGTATTAAACACGGAAGAGACACTTATTGACTAATCAAACACATGCATCAGTTGTTCGGATATCAGATAAAAAGTAAACGCTCAATGTTACCCATAATTTCTTAGAAGTAACACACTATCTGCTCCATCGTATGGTGTTTAATATCTTAGTAAACACTTGAAGCTCTTCCACACTTTAAACACTTCATTAACACGGGTTTGCTCCTTACTGAAAATTTGCTCGAATAGAGTTATATACTACATAAATTTTAAGAATTTATTGACCAATATGGTATGTATGTGTATCAACTCACTAGTGACATGGTTTCGCGGTCTAAGTTCTTCTGATGAAATTATAATCGTCTAATTATGTCAGATTGATACATTTTGACTTAGTGACACAGCATCCATTTCTTATATCTACTAATTTTTAAAATTGAAATATATGTATTAATAATATTTTTAATCTGACATTAAAATTTAAACACACAACAATTAATGTGATAGTGCGAGGTAATGCCATGTAACCTTGATAACAGTCGTTTTTATTTGTAAACCAACTAGAACAAATTTGTTTTTCTGCTAGCAAAAGTTTAACAATGGTTTTCAATATATTACCAAGACTCCAGTAGACAATGGTAGATAAGTTTCGGTGGCTTTCAAACTCTTTCTGGCTTTAACACTAACAGGGAACATAAAGTGTGTATATTACATACATGAGTCGGAGGAACATGATTTGCTGCCGTGTACATATAAATGTATCGTGTTGCTCAGGAGGTAAATAAATCGACAATACGTTGTATTTTGTGTCTGAGGAAAAGAACAAGAGATTGTTGGTACAAAAATTGGAACATACGCGTGGTCATCTGTGACAAAGCTATACCATTATCGTAAAGTATTTCAAGATGGCGTCAGTGAATCTTGAGTATTTGAAGATATAATTTCATCGTTTCCAATAGGAACACATTGTTCAATGGTTATCTTGCCAGCAGACACTTACAAGTAAATCAATATTTGAAAATCGCATAAACAAGGAATTCAGAAATTAATAATGGCATATTTCATTGTGATTGTTGATTAATAAACATTTCAGCAAATGCTATTGTCTAAGTTTAAATGCCATTTTTTTTTTTTATTTTGGCGAACTCTATCCTTTTGTAATATTGTTCCCATAGGCAAGCGCTACTGTATGTAACTACATATATATGATAAATTAGTAATTCTAAGAGAAGAACTGACAATACAAAGGCAAAAGACAAAGACGGAAAAAAGGAAAACTGATTGAATTAAACTATATCAACAATTGTGACGCCTCCTATGCTCTGTAGCATGGAAGGAGTACGACTTAATATCATATATCATTCATATCATAATCAGATGATAAAAACAACTCCATATGTAAATGGTTTATAATTTAGTAAGTTATACAAGACGAAGCTTCAAACAGTAATAAAATGATAATGATGCCATGTGTAATCTTGAATTTTTCCTTAATTTATGAGTTTGTACCGTTTTTGTTTTCGTTAAATCCTTTTATATTGAAATTTTGATATTGTCAGGTTGGCGTTTTAGTGACGTATAATCTAGCATATCCTTGGATTAATTATTCCAGTTATCTTTCCAATATATTAGCTAATTACTTTTTAACATGTCTAATCTCCTTAAGATTGATAACCTGTGTATATGTCCTACTTTCCAAAGCTAGTGTCCCTTTCTTTATGAATAGTTATGTCATATATATTAACACAAATTCTAAACATGACTAGTAAATACAATGATTAAATTGTGTTGTTCAGCTGATTGTAATCATTGTATTAGTTAATCACTGTATTAATTTTTAATCATATGATTAATTTTGGCTAATTAGCAAGTGTTTCCCACAAAGCATTGTAAATCAGGACCTATTACTTCCTTTTCTGTTTTAAATTATAACCTACTTCTATTTACCCAGTTTGTGGGTGCCAAATATATATGATTGAATAAATATCGTATAACATGTTCATATTTGTATTGTAATATATACATAGTTTAGATTCATCAAAATTGTCTGTTGGAGTTAAAATTAAATGTGCTTGAAGGGGAAAATGATTTAAGAAATGCAGACATTAATGCATTCTGTTTAACAAAATGTGCTTTCGGGTACATTTTGCAATAATAAACATCTCCATTCACCCATTACTGATCATGACTAGGCCCAACATTTTTCATTTGTTTGTTCACAGAAATTGTTATCTGAAATGATGGACCTTGGTGATCGTAGAAAAAATCCAAAACAAATTGTATTCATTAAGTAAAATTTTATTTCTATAAAAAGTTTTATTCTTTATTCAAACTAACTTTACCGTGCATCAACGGCTGTTCCAACTTGGAAACATTGTCAGTGTTTGTCCTCGGTAGGCTAATCTCTTATTTAAGTTGATACCGTGTTGGTTGTATAAAGTGTATCTTTTAGTTTCACGGAATTTGAGTGTTGACAGCAGATAATTTGAAGTCTTTGTTAAATTTATTTAGCAATATGATGACGAGTCCTTCAAAAACCTGTAATTTTTGTTGTTCATTTAGTACAACTCGATACAGATTCCAGGTATTTTGTTTGATTAATGATGAATTATCGTACTATTACATCCCAGGAATGTAATCTCCGTTGACGCTTTGGTGAAGAGTGCTTTCTTTCACGTCCGCATTTCTATCAAGTATGGCATGCCAAGATAACAATCTAGATGATTGTTAAGGATGGTGAAAATAAATTCAGAACTATGAACAATAACATAAATTGTTAATCATACGGCATAGTTTGTTTTTATCAAAATGAATTTACGACTTGTTCGTTACATGTATTAACAAAACCCTGAACAAGTATATTTTTCAGTTACAAAACAATAAAAAAAAAAGATCGAATACAACTATCCGACACTATGATACATATTGGGTATCGGATATTCACGCGGGGTGCGTTAATATAAAAATAAGAAGATATGTTATGATTGCACATGCAGTAACTCTCTATACGTATACCAGAGACCAAATGCTGTAGAAGTTAACAACTATAAGTCACCTTATCGGCTTCAAAAATTAGCAAAACCCAAATATTATAGTCAGCTACAAAAGTCCCTGAAATGACGCTTTCGTTGTTAAATAATTCAAAGAGAAAACTAACGCCATGATAAATGTACCAAACAATAAACGAAAAACAAATATGATATACAGCAACAAACGACAACCACTAAATTGTTGTCTCCTGACTTGGGACAGACACATACAGAAAGATTAATATATACAAGCAGTGGGGGTTCTCTTCCTATATTTAGATATACACAGACGTTCCGCTGGTATGGGTAACTTTTTTTGAAATGTCAAATATATCATTGGTTTGTAATTTAACGGAGGTAATATATCAAATTTATTATATGTCAATGTTATATGTTTTATTTTTCAAAATCACATTTTCAGATAACGACGTCAAAGGAAATAAAATCGACGTTTTATTTTGACTCTTGATTTTGTATCTCAACTTTAACGATCATTACTCACATAACAATAGAATATTATATGGTGAAATGTATATGCTGGATACTATATGCTATTATAATGCTCAATGATGTTTCTGCAATTTATCGGACCTTGGGCTCTTTACCAGAGACATGGGAGAAGCAGTGTTCAGTTTAAAAAAAAAAAAACATATATTGGTGATATGAATGATTGAAAAGTGTTTTGCTTCCTGAAGGTACTAGTAATAGGCCCCCTACCCCTCACCTCACGCGGTATAGAACTTCTAGTAAGGGAGGAAGGCACTGACTGCCTAAGAGGGGGCATGCTATAGTCATGCGTCAGTGATTCCCTTAATAATCAACCGGAAGGGCGGGCTCCCCCCTAAATCAGCCTCTGACTTCTTTTGAACTAGGACCAGTATATCTGTTCCTGTTTTGACAAATCCCTGAATGTCTGAACTTAGGTTTTCCAAATTCTGAATAACAGGTGCTTGTTTTTGTATATCGTGTCAACTGTGAAATATAGTGATACTTTTTATTCACTATATCTGAATATTATACTTAATCACTGACATAACACGCTTACTAGAGCAAATTTTCATCATAGATATTTTTATC